TTTTTTTAAGATTTATTTATTTATTCATACAGAACTGGGGTACAGGCCAGAGATGCGGAGGGTGAGAGGACTCACCAGAGTCAGAGCAGGGTACAGAACAGGCAGATAGAGGAAGTACACTGCTGAGGGGAGCGGCGGGCGGGTCAGGAGAGGTCTGCCAGCCATGTGGATCTCCTCCAGGGCAAGTGGGGATCCAACTAATGTAGAAGTGGCTTAAGCTTCTTTGTGCTGTGCTTTAACCTGCTGAGCCACCAGGGAGGGCCCACTCACTGGATTAATTTTTAAGAAAAAATTATGGTGAAATGTTTACACAATTAGGGTGATGTGCAAGTAAGCAGAGAGTAGCTTGGGATCAACTTTGATAGACAGCCTAGCGGCTCAAGGTATTAGTGGGTAGTTGGCAAGGATTCTCATGAGAGATGAGCACAGAACAACTGGTGTGTGCTGGGGGACTCCAACTCCGATGAAGGTCAGAAACTCCATGTCCGGAAAAGAAGAATCTAAAGGAAAACCGAAACCTTTCTGAAAACCAAGATACAAAAGGTATAAATAGCTACCAGGCGATTTCCAAGTCTCCAGTAGTAGAATATTTGTTCTTTCCTCAGAGTCTTGATTCTGAATCAAGTTGTTTTTCTGAGTTTTAGGCTTAGAAAAAGTTAGGGTGGTTCAAATTCTTGGAAGAAGGACTCAGAGTCCAAGAGGTAGGGCATTCATTCACCACCTGCGGATGGACATCTTGTCATGGACAGACCTGGTGCGAGGCCCTGACTTTCTGAAAACCAGGCTCCGAACTGGGGTGCTGTGTGGAGAGGGTGGAGCTGTCTGGGACTTACCTCATTCTGTCTCTCCACCAAGTCCTGCCGGACACACTGTCACTCTCACAGCGCCTCTCTGTTGATCTTCACAGAGTTTGAGGACAGATGAGACGTGGTCAGTGGTGAGCCAGTTTAGGATTAGGGTTAATTTTCCTAAAGGACGTATGTTTTGACTACATTAATAATTACATAAAGGTGGGGGATACATTCCTGAGAGAGGGCGCCACAGTGGGTTGAAAAGCGTGGGCAGGAATGTGTGCTCTTACTCACAACTGCCTCACAACTCCTGCACCGAAATAGCCTCCGTGTGACAGACCCCTGGACTGGATGGACCCTGGGTGTGTCCCTGTGGGGTGAGTTGTGTGTTGTGTTTTTTACGGCCAGCGGAGGGCTTCCGGAGGAGACGTGGGAATGCCCTGCACTGCTGACATTACCCCCGTGAGGGGGTCAGAGGGTAAAAGCTATATCCGAGATTTCAGCTCAAGGTCAGAAGTAACTTTTACCAGAACTGTCAAAAACCTGAATATCTTCCCAGGGAAATGTTCTTTTGTTACGTTTTTAAAATCATACTATTTATTGAGGTGATACTGGTTCGTACCACTGTTTTATGATACAGGGGTACAGGAACACCACACCCACCAATGTGGGGATTGATAAATATTTAAGATGCTTTCATGTATTTCATAATGCTTTTCATTATATAGAGGTAAATGACATCCAAGAACCTTCCACATTTAAAAATCTTTCATTCTGGCCCGCCCTGGTGGCACAGCGGGTCAAGGCACAGCATTTAGAGTCTAAAGCCGCTTGCGCATGAGTTCGATCCCCACCTGCCCCAGAGGTGACCACATGGTGTGGCATACCTCTCCCTACCCGCCCGCTGCTCCCCTCAGCAGTGTACTTCGTCGATCTGCCTGTTCTGCTCCCCGCTCTGTCTCTGGTGAATCCTCTCACCCTCCACATCTCTGGCCTGTACCCCAGTTCTGTATGAATAAATAAATAAATCTTAAAAAAAAAATCTTTCATTCTATACTCTGGTCTTTTAGCTGGAGTTTAGATTCATATATATGACGAACTCACCATGATCCTATGTGTTATAAAGTCGATTGCTTAAATAGAATCTGAATGCCTTTGTCACAGTTCTTTTTTGCCTGTGATGAAAATTAAGGCAGACTCCATTTTCTATTTCTTCAAATAAATATAGCCTTGGCTGTAGATCAGTATATCATGCTCCGATGACCTTACTATGAAGTGAGAGGGTCTGTTCTTTATCTCTGAAGCAGCGTTTTGTCACCACCCTGGGTTCCGGGTCTGGGGAAGAATGGCCTAACAGGTGGAACAGCAAAGACCCTGCCATTTGCAGTGAGGCTCCTGCCCCATGAAAGTGAACCCTAAGATGTTCTGGTGAGCTGCCAACATTCCCAAGCGGGCAGGAAGGGCTAAGCCTGGCCTCTCTACTTGACATTCACAAAGGCTCGGCCTGTGTATATCTGCCCGCCCCCATGGTTCTGAGCGCTCTGACTGCCTGGGCACTTTCTCTCCACGAATAGTCTGATGCACTGTATTCAGCATTAAAGTAGGGTGGTTATGTGGAGATGTCTTCTATTCCTACTTTTAACAGATTAACAGCTAATAAACACCATGCAACACCCTCTCCTCCCCACCTCTTCTTAAAATACAGAGTTTGGTTTGCCAACATCGGTGTATTTAAAGCCTCCAAGATTCCAGGGAAGACTTTAGAAAGTTAACTGTGCGAGTAAGGCCTTTCAGAGGGGAAATTTTCCAACACAAAGAGCCAATCAGTGGATATGCCACTTGCTGAGAAGCACCTCAGGGGAGCTTATAAGGAAAGGATATTTGTTCTCACTTAAACGAAAGCTTCTCACTTTGTTCTTGGCATGGAAGACAAGCAAACTCTGGAAGGGTTATCACCTGGGGCCGCGATGCGGCAGCAGCAGTTTTCTCTCAAAATAGAAAGCTGGTCTTTTCTAGGAGGGACACCACGACCCTTCTGGTTGCCTTTGCAGTGAGTGGACTTCGGACGCTCCTCCTCCCTCCTCCATCCCACCGCGTCTCTGAACCTCCTCCTCCACTTAAAAGCGAAGCAGTTGGTTTTACAGGAAAATAAAAAGTCAGAAGCTATTTTCAGATTTTAACAGAAGCACCAGCCAATTCTGTTTTGAGAACAGGGGCAAACATATGTCTGAATTTTTTAGCATAATTATGCTAAAACAATATACTCCAGGACCTTTTCAGGGCAGAGTGGACGGTGGGCAGAGGGCAGTCAGTGCATTGGCAGCCTCCGTGAGCCGCTCGTAAAGCACTGTTCCCCTGAGCGCTGTGTTCACTCGAAGCTGACCGTGTCTGGCCCGTGTCCTCTGGGGCCAGCTTGCTCAGTAGATCCCAACAGTGCAGAGACGTACTTGCAGAAATGTTTCGGTCTTTTAACTGGGGGACAATTTCTGGAACCAGACTCATGTTTTGCCTTCAGGTAGGTATTTCTTGTTGAAACAGACACTCAAGTGTAGTGATTGCTTACCGCTCCTTTCATCCACGTCGTGTGTCTCCATTGGATTATAATTTTTAAAAAAAAATTATTCTTGTGCAGAAGAACTGGGGCTAGAGGTATGAGGGGTGAGAGGATTTACTAGTTACAGAGCGGGGAGCAGAACAGGCAGATCGACTGAAATCCACTGCTGAGGGGAGCAGCAGGGAGACAGGAGAGGTCTGCAGCTCCCTGTGGGTCACTCCCTGGCCAGGGATGGACTCGGGCTGTGGTGGTGATAGTGCTGAGATTTCATCCCCAGGGCACCAGGGAGGCTCCAGCTAAGAAGTTTTTAAGGGTCGCGTGTGGCCCTTACACAGACTGTGTCACTGCTTGGTGCTTGGGGAACAGCCCATGCTGCAACCCCCTCACCTCTGTCCGCGATGTTATATGACTTTGACCTTTAACACTTAACACGATGCAGGTCAACTTGAGGTTCCACTACTGCCTGCAAGCCACGGGGCGGGGTGCGTCTTCTTGCCCCTGCAGTGCAGTGTCGCGTGCACCTGGCCTCTTCCACACTCCCTGCCCACGATGACCTGTCCACTTGTCAGGCACACCACCTCAGGGTGTTTGACTCATTGGGGTTACTTACGGCTGCGTTTGCTTGCTTTTCTTTCTGCCCAGGACTGGACTGGAAGCGATCATGGAGACCTACGCGTTCTGGAGACCCCCTGTGCGCACCCTCACCTTTGAGGACTTCACCACCATGCAGAAGCAGCAAGGTGAGGCCTCTGCTTCGTGGCAGAGCCAGGGAGGGCGTGGGGACTGGGCTGAACACAGCATGTCACGGGCCCAGCAGTGGGGTCCACACACAGATGCTTCTGGAATGAAGAGAACGTGGTAGCTGCAGGTGTCATGGAAGCCTCCCACTGCACAGATGAGCTGGTTTCAGCAGCCTTTCCACCTGGTGCTTAAAATGATTTCCCCTTCTGAAGGCCAAGGTGATAGGTTCCTCGTTATGAGGGTGGGGAAACGATTATTTCGATTATGAAGCATTCACATGACTCTTGGTATTTGAAGAGATCTTCGTATACTTCACTTACTCCTCAAGGCAGCCTTTTGTTTTCTGATTCTAGTTTTATAGATGCGAGAAACTTAATTGCAAACCATGGGAATTAGGGCCGTTCAAGCCCATCTGCATTTGTCACCCTGGGCTCGCTCCTGCTTTGTTTATGTGGAGTGATGCTTCTCACGGGGTTGGACCGGGAGGCCGCCCGGTGTCCCCAGCACCCACCCCCAGCACACACTGCTCTGTGCCTTTCTCCCAGTTTTAGATCTCCTTTCCCTTGTGGCTCAGGCTGGGAAAACCTCAGGCCAAATGGGCAGACGGCCGGTGGGTTGGTTCAGTTCCTTCCCTCAGCCAGGGGCTGTCCCGCGGGTAGGGCCCTTCATCAGGTGCCTGAAAGAAAGCACCAAGGTGTCAGAGGCTGTATGAGTCACTTTCTCAACTTTCTCTGTCCCCAAAGTGACACTGATCATCATGACAGATCAGCTTACTCAGTTCCATCCAATGACCACCGTTCATAGAATCCAAATTTTAGAATCTGTGACTGTGATGGAAGCCATTCTAGGACTTGAGAATATATAACATTTTCTTCTCAGGGAAGCTTCTAGCAGTTTTCACACGGACGTAGGTTTATTAGCCAAAATGACTGAAATCGCTCAGGATTTAAAATGAGTGTCATGGTTTGAAGCATAGATTCCGGAGCGGACAAGTTGGGCTGGTCTCTTCCCATCCTCCTTCCTAGCTTTGCGGCCTCGGTCAAGTCGTGCGTCCGCTCTGATGCTCACTTCTTTCCACCTGCAAAATGAGAAACGTAATCCGTTTCCTGAGGATTAAACGAGATAGCATGGCGTAGACTTGCTAGCCATCGCCACCCTCGCCTTTCTCATCTCTCCTTTGTCCATGTCTGGGAGACCCAAGGGGAAGATGCACCAGGACAGGGGAGACTGTTTTTCTCATGATTAGTTATTGAAAACTTGATGGCCCATTTGCCTTCACGGGGATCAGATCAGGCAAAGGATGCGGAATTTCCATCTCTTTCTCCCTCTCTTTTTTGGGGAGGAGAAATGGAAATTCTTCTTAGGAAGTGACTTGCTCCCCATAATGTGACAGAAGCAGAGTCAGGGCATCTTTGAGGTGTGGCCACCTCTCTGAGGCTTCCATCTCCCGTAAGAGGCAGAGAGTCTGTGGGAGCCAGGAAACCTGGGTCCTCATCTTTCATGGTGATTAACTCTGTATCACCTTGGTCAAATCACTTCTACGCCGAAACCCTGCCAAAGGGGCCCTTCATGTAAACATGTCTTGTAAACGGAGAGGAGACATGCAAAGACACCGGGTGGCTTCGTGTTCATCTGCCCTTGTCCCGTTGACTTCCCGAGCTAAGCAGAGCTGTGTCTCGTGGAGGATGGTGCTGGAAGACTGACAGGGATCTTGCCGGTTTCTGAGTCCAGCCTTAACGGCAACCTAATGTTCACCGCTGTGGCCCCAGGGTCTGGCACCCAGGAAGGGCCTGATGAACGCTGCATGAGGCTGCCGATGGTCTTGCGGCTCAGGTGGGCAGAGCCTGTCCCATTGCATCTCAGACAGCGTGAATCTGTGCGCAGATTTGGCCCAGCACAATCCCCGGGAGGGCGCCCAGCGTTTATTTCCGCAGCACGTGCGTACGCGCAGGCGCAGACCAGGGAACCTGCCGCGATTGCTCGGGGTTCATGGAGTGTCTACGAAAAACGTATTGCCATGAAGACCTATTGTTGACACCTTGCAAACAGTGATCTCAGAGAAACTGAGCTTTCGAGGGATGACAATTGTTCAGTGATGCCCTTTTTTATCGGTGGAGGGATGAGAGTGGAATTACTGGGTGCACATGGTGGTGGGAAAGCCAAGGCAATTTGAGTTTAATTGGAATGTATTTTTGAACTAGACACTGAACCTGATCCAGATTCTCCTTATTGAAAAATAGGCAGGGATGTAGAAGTGACTTCACCCAGCCCCTCTTGCCTTAAGAACTAAGAGCCCCAGCAACTCTGGACAGGATCACTCACAACATGCAGACAAGAGACACAGCCACTGCATTCAGCTGTCTTGTGTTGCCAGTAGAGCGTGGTGACCTCTTGGTGGGGACCCCAGTGGCCTGTGGCTTTTTGTGATTCCCATTTAGCGAGGAGAATATTGGCAGATGGCACCAAAGCAGGACTGACTGACTCACCCAGGTACTCCATGGCCGCATTGCTTTAGACATGGACTATCTGGCCTGTCGACTGTGCAATC